ACCCTCTGGAACGAACTACCCCCCGAGATCCGGACGATTCCGGATCTCCTATCTTTTCGCCGCGCCCTCAAGACATGGCTTTTTCAGCAAGCGGGTCTGGCCTAGGGAGAATTTTAAATAGGGACAATTTTAATTAGAATCTTAATTAACACAGCGGTAAATATTTGTTTTTAATTGGTTTTTATTGGGGATAATGTTCATGTTGTTTTAATATGCTATGAGCCGCCCTGAGTCCTGTTGGGAGAAGGGCGGCATATAAGTTTAATTATAAATAAATAAGTGTAACTGGGCCCTTAAACTCTGCAGGAAAAAACATTGCTTCATAAAGTTCACAACCTGGTTTATCCATAGACAATGCTTTGAGTATAGGACATAAAAAATAGAAGATTTCATTCTTAGTTCAGAAAGACAATTATGATTTAATAATTATGAGACATGGTATGATCTATGGACACAATGAGCCAACTTGTTCCAAAGGAACAGAAGCAGTAGAAGGGAGAGGGATAATGTCAACATAAAAGGAAGAAAAAGGGAGCACTCTACTAGTATCTCAAGAAAAAAGGCAAATTGCTTACTAAAACAGAAAGCAAAGCTATTCAGATCCTATTCTGGTTATGTGTTCTGCAAGAAGAAGGCAGTTGGACAGAGCAGTATATAGGGACAGGGCAGAAGAAGTAAACATGGTAAAAAAACATCTATTTCACTGACTGTATTTAAATCTCAGGGCAAAATGCATTGGGACCTAGGAGGTGAGAATTTAGATGAACCTTTTTATATTGTCTTTGAAAAACTGTGAGGAACTGGTGAAATGCCAGATGACTGGAGAGAAAATGTCATTCTTGAGGACATCCATTGAGGATGTGGTGAACTGAAGATGTCCCTGAAGAAACAGAAGCAACTTTGTGGCTGACATCAATGCCTGGATGCGGGATTTGTGCTTGCAAAATCTCTCCCAAGAAAGAAGAGATCATGAGATTGCCCACATATATTCCTGACAATGGCTCCTCATGGGTAGATGGCAGGAATCAATGTTATTGTGATCTGCTTGTGAGACTGAGCACTTCAGTAAAATAAATATTTAAATAAACAAAGCTTGAAATATTTCGAGTAGACTGCATTGTGGGCACTTTGCCTGGTTTTTGTCTCTGAAATATTTTGGCTGATGTTTTTCTCTCCCATTATGTACCTTTCCATCCAGAAGTATCTTGCCTCTGTGTCAAAGCAGCTTACCTATGGCAGGAGCAGATAACATAATACTGTAGTCTTCAAATGTTTTGAGGTACAATCCAGACATTGCTCTGTATATACATTCTGCTATACATACCTTGATTCTCTTAACTCTCTCTCTTCTCCCCCGCATGTATGTGCGTAAATAAGTTTGTGTATATATATAGATATGCATGAAGAAACACTGCGTAATCCTATCATTCTGAATTCTGAATAGCTGCGTACTTGTGAGCTTCTGTTCCTGATGCTATTAGACAAGTTCCTTTAGACAAGTCCCCCCCCCTTTAAAAGATATCCTGCTGTCCTGATGCACACAGAACGAATAAACTTAAAAAGCTGACCTAATATTCAGCTTCATGGTTTGCTCAACTGTCTTTCAGTTTGCGTACCTGGTGCACTCTGCAATTCTAAGACCTCCTGTGTGTCTTCATTCTTACAGATCCAGCAGCAACAGAAATAGCAAGACACCCAGAGGAGCCCATCTGCCTTACCAAATATTTCAGCGTTGTATGGTGCAAAGCCTCAAAGAAAAAGCACAAGAAGTGGGAAGGTGATGCTGTTCTTATAGTGAAAGGAAAGTCAGTGATGCTCAAGGATATGGAAGGCAAAAACATTGGAAAAGGTAAGGATGAAATGAAAATAATTGATCAGGTGTATGTCAGAAGAAATATTGTTATGTAACTTTTGACCAAAGGAAGAAAAGGATACTTTTTGATGACTGAGGCCACACTTTGAAGGGATGAAGAGTTATATAAAAGAGGTGAAGAGCCTAGCAAATGAGTTCAGAGGTCCAAATGGTCCTTCCAATGCTTAAGATTCTGTGACTTTATGAAGGAATTTTCTGTCTATTGGTAGAAAGTTAGAATATTACATAGCCATGTCAGCTAATTGGAACTTGTGTGTTCAGAGGTAGTTTGTCATGGCTAACTTGTGAATGAGGCCAGATTTGTATCCTCTAGAGGTGTTAGACTTCAACCTCAATTATTATCATTTTCAACTATTATATCTAGCTGGGGTCGTGGAAATAATATTTCAACATATTTGGCGATTGCCAGAATGGAATTAAAATAGTCAGATGAGAGGAACAATGGCAGTGATTAGATTTTTGCACATGTGAGTTGGAACTCAGGCTTACTGATTGAGATGGCAAATTCAGCTGAAAGATTTAAATAGTGGTGAATGAAAAATGCTCTTAGTGTACTCTAAAATTCCTTGTGCACGAATAGAGTATATTATTCTCTCAAAAGCAGGGAAAAAGTGGAAATCTTCCAATAAAAAGAGTGTTTGGAAAGTATTATTATGAGCTACCTCTCTGAAACAGGTCTTCTGAATCAAATCCAAAGTACTGTCCTACTATTAGATAAAGCCCAGAAAACTCCCATATTCAGAATGTCATTCCATATTCGGAATATCACTCTACCACTTGTCTTTCTCTGTCTCTTTTACATATACAAACTACACTCTATTACCCTCTGATTATATTTTTCTTAACCACTGGCCTTTTAGGAATGTTTCTGATAAATAATGGAATTTAATATCTGCCGTATCCACAACACACTTCCCTACATTTATGTATTTGCAAGTTAATCCCAGTTCAGAGGGGTGAAAACTACCTGCATGTGTTCAGTGAAATTGCAAATGATTTATATAGTTAAACATTTTTGTAAAGATTTACCTCCTCCATAACAACGTGCAGGAAAATAGTATGCAAGAAGGCATACCTTGAGGCCATTTCTTTATAGCACCAGTCCTTTGACATAATCTTTTATCTAGTAAAGTCCACTTTATCAGATGTAGTAAGTGCAATTCTCTCTCTCCCTCCCCCCTCCCCCCTCTGTTAGATAGCAACAATTACCAAATAAAGGACAGTCTCTAACATTTCAAACAAAATTTATATGCCTGTGCAATAAGCACAGTGACCCATTCCCCACAACTATTTACATAAATGTATTTGTCTCTAAGGTATTACAGAGTTCTTTGTTTTCAGAAAAATAATAATTGGTGCTGCTAACACAATTATAAATAAAAGGGAGATCAACCATTTCCTGCACTATATTGCTTAGCAACAAGCGCTAACTTTCATGCATTACTCATTAACTTGTTAATCAAGCTTTTTTGTTCCTATTGCCTAGTAGGATTGGATAAGTTAGGAATTCATTTAGTGAAGTAAATAAGGGTGTAAGATATTTTCAGGAATGTGTCTAAATTTCGGTTAGAATCTTTGTTTTTTCCCCCAGCCCTCATGAGTACCAGATCTCTGGAAATCTTCTAGCATGTAATCTGTATTTTGGAGCAGTGGATGTTTTGGCATCAAATGGGCTAATGTTTACCTTCTTTTAAAGTGATACGGTACCATAAAAATAAAGGAGCTATGTTGAGGATGTTCCTGACATCTTTCAAAAACTTACAGAGCTATTTAATATTTTTTCTTTAAAAAGAATGTGTCCTAAATATAAATTATCAATATTCAGCTTTTTAGTCAAAAGAATTGGCCTTATTTCTTGCACAGTATGGCAATAATGTCTTTTTTCTTAAAATTGTAAGATTTACTTGACTAAATGTATTCTTTATTCATTTATATCCACCAATAATAATAATAATAATAATAATAATAATAATAATAATAATAAAGTTGGAAGGGACCTTGGAGGTCATCTAGTCCAACCCCCTGCTCAGGCAGGAAACCCTATACCATTTTGGACAAATGGCTGTCCAGACTCTTCTTAAAAACTTCCAGGGTTGGAGCATTCACCACTACTGGAGGTAGGTTGTTCCACTGGTTAATTGTTCTGTCAGGAAGTTTCTCTTTAGTTCTAGGTTGCTTCTCTCCTTGATTAGTTTCCACATCTCAACATAACCTTTATAATTTCTCTTAGGCACTGGATATAAGTTCAAAGACTTAGACAATCTCAGTGAAGGTCAGAGTCTGATGATTGGAAGCAAAGAAATTGAAGTGATGGGTATGATATTGGAAGAGGATTTTAAAAGTGGCAAATGTTTTTTGTCTGGTCTGGAGGCCACAGAAGAAAGTTGGAATTCCTCAGTTGCTTCTACAAGGCGGTTTTGTAACCCTTTCAAAAATGTTTGCAAACCTAATACTAAAGAAAATTGGCCTAACTGTAAACCACGTCATGATCCGTTAGCTGCAAGTAAGGATTTGTTTTTGAGTTTATCTGCGTTAATCTGTCTATCTCTGTTCTATCCACTTCTAAAGAAAGTGAATTAGTAATCCAAATCAAATTCAGATACCCTCTAACTTATACTGGAATTCACTCCAGTCATAGCCTTAACATATAAAGAGGAAATTAACTTGGGGAAGGCCAAAATAATTAAATGGGTGAATTGGATAAGCAAAATCTAACTTTTTTTCTCTTGTTCTCAGAATCTCAGTATAAAACAAGTATAGGCACTGTGGATATGATGAAATCTAGATGGACTGAAAAATGACATATTTGAAAACAGAAATCATATCTAAACTGAACAAATAGAAGATATTCCTCCCTTGATGGATTGGAGAGATTGCCATCTCATTTGCAGCAAAGTTAAGAAATTTGCAAATAGCTCATGAGTAGGCAATTTATTGTTCTCTAGATATAAATTCCAGACACTGAAAGCCAGTGATCAAGAATTATGAAAAATACAGTTGCTTCTTCTTTTATCTCACATTTTTCACTTTATAAGTAACTCAGGTGATGAACATATCTGTTTCTCCTTCCTCCTCCTATTTTCCCCACAACAACAGCCCTGTGAGGTAAATTGGGCTGAGAGAGAATATCTGGCCCAAAGTCACCCCGCTGACTTTTACGCCTAAGACGGGACTCAAAATGTTTGACACATTCCTAAAAGTCGGATTATATGGGAAATTAATTAAGGTTGGAATATAATCCAGTGAAGCAAGTTGTCATTTTGTTGATTTTATCCTAAGAAATTCTTGAACAAATATCACCATGTATTTCAGAATGATAAGTTTTTCCTCTTTGTTTAATATTAAACATCTTAGAGAAGACTGTTTATATGACACTACTAATTGTTTATTAACTACTCTGTCAATTTGAGAATTAAAAGGGTAGGGTTATTTGCATGTTTTGGTTTGAATTTGGCATTTTTTTTCCCTTTCACCTACAAAACTGGTTGCTTTTGCTTTAAAACTAATATTTTTGTGCTGACACCACCTATGTTTGAAATTTAAGATTCCTTAGTTATGCCATATCCGTGCCCAAGTCACCAGCGATTGTTTAACAAGTCACATTTGCCTGTTGTGGATGTGGTTGTAGACCCTTACATTACAAGTCATCTTCGCCCACATCAGCGAGAAGGAATTCTGTTTCTTTATGAATGTGTGATGGGAATGAGGTAAGAAGATCATGATTTCCTGGTTTTTGATCTCCCAGTCTTTCAGAACATTGGTAGATTTTGGGAAAAGTCGATGCATTTGCCTTTGGTATATTGTAAACACTTCAAGTGCTAAAGTTGAGGAGAGAAAGAAATGCCCATCTAGGTGCCATTTTCAGCAACATTTTTGGGATGATTGTATTGACACAGTTTTACCCAGGGAGATGACTATATGGGGAAGCTATGTACAGGTGGCAACACTTACAAAAACGAAAGCAAACTGAGCAATGGCAGAAGTATGAGAAAGAAGCTTCCTCCCTCCCAAAAGGAGGGAGTGCTAGAAAACAACATTTGTGCAAAACTTGTTTTGGATCTTCCCAATTCCTAAAAAAAAAATCTGCATGATAGCAACCATACAGATTGGAAATAGCAAAAAAGAGAAAGAGAAAGAAAGGGAGGGGAGAGGCGACACTGCACATAGGCCAGTGGTGGCGAACCTATGGCACGGGTGCCAGAGGCGGCACTCGGAGCCCTCTCTGTGGGCACACGTGCCGTTGCCCCAGCCTTGCCTCCCCTCACGACCCCCTCCTCTCCAGCAGCCCCCCTGAAGGAGAGTCACCCTCGAGCGTGGCCCACACGGAGCAGCACAGTGAAGGACATGGCAGCCAGGCAGCGTAGACAGAACTCTGCCCTCACACCCCAGCATGCAGTTGATGCTGCAGGGCGTGGGCAGAGGGTGTGGCCGCCAAAGCGCTGCTGTGCGATCTGCGGCGGGCCCTGGAGGCATTGAGTGGTCCTGTGGGCAGACGGGGCGGGGGATAGGGGGCAGAGCGGGGGCGGGGCCAGTTTTGGGGCACTCGGTCTCTAAAAGGTTCGCCATCACTGACATAGGCCAAAAGAGGAGAATAGTAAATGAGAATAATGTGGACTTTTTATATGGAGACGTAATACAATAGCTGTAACAGAGCAGTGGCCTACGCCTATAGCATGTTTATAAGAGCTATTGTGGTTTCTTAGTTTGTATAAAATCTGCACATTTCCTTCCCACCCAAGAAAACTCAAGCCAAATAAACAAAGATAAACAATACGGTTAAATACAATGAAGGGAAAATATCACTTCAACATGTACCTGTCAGCTTTGGTCTGCTTGAAAACAGAAGATTTTGCCTCCTTCACTAGTTGATAAATCATCTTTCTAAGCTGGTGGTCACATTTGGCATTTCCAGAGTATCTTGTGGGCAGTGTCACAAAATGAGTCTATGGAGATTCTCAGTTAACCAGGCCATGGTTGTGCCAAAGGTGTTTTTTCAGGAGGCAACTGGACTTTTTTGTTTTTTCTTTGAAGACTGGATGGTGGGGAATTGACAAATCCTTCCATTCCCCACCATCCAGTCAGAGCTGGAAAGTCCAGTTGCCTCCTGAAAAAACACCTTTGTCACAAAATGACTCTGGAGTCATTTACACAATGGCAGCCATGGGGAGCACTATCATTGTTGGATATAAACATGATCTTGGAAGCTGATACTTTGCTTTCCAGCATTCCAACTTACTATTTTTTAAAGTTAAAATACTCTCTGAATGATAAAATGACACAGACAAGGTGGAGCCTAGGAGTCAGACTTGGCTAACTTTGGCTGATCTCAAACAAACTAAATGAGCTCAGGCATGGTTAATATTAGAATGACAGACCAACAGGAAATGTGCGAATTATAACTAGAGGAGCCAAACAAATTTGTAGAAGACGGCTGTGGCAAATTATTTCCTTATTGTTACCAACAAAACTATGCAATCTTGCCAATATTGTTACCAGAAGTTGGTCTTGACTTAAAGGAATCTTTTTTTAAAAAAAAAATCTAATTCATGCAGCTTTGCTAAAGCTTTTCTACAAGGGCTTTCTCTCTCTTTCTTGGGTAGAAATTAAGGAGATCTAGGCTGGAGAAAAATTATTTGTTGCCTGGTTTGGTTGAAAACTCCAACTCCTATAATTATAATATTTTTAAACCTATGATTTTGACAGAGATAATTGTCTCTCCCCCCCATCCCTGCATAATACAATAGCTTTAAAAATATTCCAAAAATGAATGGATTTGAAGTCTACTTTGAATAAATCTTTAGAAGTCAGAGAATACAAGCAACAACTCAGTGAAGCCCTGGCAGATCTTCTATTGAATTATACTGAGACCTTTTTATGAATAATGCAACAGCTTCTCCCCTGGAAAATTCTCCCTTCAGAGAAATAATTAGCAATATTTTATATTAACAGGAAGTTGATGAAATGGAGTATACTCTATAGCAAAATTAAAAGTATGATATTAATCTGACCTAATAATTTCATAGAATTTATTGTGCTCAGTTCTGCAACCAAATTAGGGACTTCATCCACCAGAGGGAAGGGCACAAAGCAATTTTATTGATTCAGTTTTAGCCAACAAAAGCTTGGTTTTTCTTCAAGAGATAGGACATATTGCCAAATTTGGTGAAGGTTTGGGAGATAATGCAGATAATAATAAAAAGAGTATTATAGTTTCATGAAGGAAACATTTATGTTTATCTGAATCACCTATCAGCCTTACCTCAAATTTTCACATTATCTGCTCCTTCTTTTAAATTTTATTTATCAAGTAGAACTCTTCTACTCTCTATAGAAAAATTCTTTACCTAAAATATAATATTGCAATATGCTCAAGTGGGCAGGTTCGGCATATTTTCTCAAAAATACAATTTGAATGAAGGAAGACAAATGACCTGTAGCCTTTTTCTCTAACTCTTCTGAGTCCAGATCTAAGTATCTATGCCTATTTATTTTACTACAGCTATTTTTATTTTATTTCAATCCAATCTATTTAACTGTACAAGCACAACAAAATATAACCTATAACAAAAATGAACAATATTATGTAAAAATATAACCATCAACAGTCATATTTAATTCTCGCTGTATATTTTAAAATCTTGTATGGACATGGTGGAATAAAAAAAAACAAATCAATTAAATCAAAAGTCTAATCCATAAATACTCTTTTGCTATATTGCCAAACGATCAGGATGCCTATGATGTTCCATTAAATGGCCAAGGCTTTTTTTAAAACTCATTTTATACAATAATCACTTTCTTTTTTCTTGCTGTCTGTGTCTAGAATGAGCAATAGATTTGGTGCCATCCTTGCAGACGAAATGGGTTTAGGAAAAACGCTGCAGTGTATTTCACTCATCTGGACACTCCTGCGTCAAGGACCTTATGGATGCAAGCCTGTAATCAAACAAGCCTTGATAGTAACTCCTGGAAGTCTGGTGAAGAACTGGGGAAAAGAATTTCAGAAATGGTTGGGAAATGAGAGAATCAAAGTGTTTTTAGTTGATCAGGTGAACCAAAGAATTACACTCCTATCCCTAATAATTATTTTAGATACTCCCAAATGTTTAGATGTTCATCTTTTATTTATGAATTGTATAAATAGATATTTATATAGGACCCTTTTAATTTAATTTCATTGAAACGAGCATTGTCTTTTCTTACTTCAACTCTGTAGAACAATTTAATGTAAATGTATCTTCACATTCCTTCTCTTCATCTGCTTCTTGGGCTCACATGAAGCACTGAACCGGAATGTGTCTTACTTGTTTGGGTTTAATGCAGTTTGTCAACCCAGAGCAGCCAGTGGGGATTATTTAACAAACTATGGTTAAGTCCTTAACTCAGTGATGAATTATTCAGTCAAATGAATGGAGGCTGCAGGCTTGCAACTCAACTGTTTGTTTTCAGGGCTTGTGATTAAAAAGTAGCTTTTCAGTATAGACATTTTCCTTCTTTCATTTCTTTCTGAAAGCAGTGGCATAGGCATACTGTATGTACTAAAATGTCCAATTGTTATTAGCAGATGTTTAACATTGGTTGGAAAGTGAACAGGAAAGAAAGAAACCTAACAATGTTACCCAATTGGATACAAAGGAGAGTCTTTTTCATTAATATTCAGAAGTAAAAATTAGTCATTGGAAGCATACAAGAGAAAAACAACTGTGTGTAGTTTAAACAAAGTTAGTCATCCCATCTTATTGTCAATGACTGTTCATAAATTGTCTTATTTATCAATGAATGTTCATAAATTAATTCAGAATAATTCAATGTATTTAAGTATGTATGTAAGACATACATTTAGGTATAGATTCATTTTTATTTAGAATGCCAACTTTCCCATTCCCACATAACTTTCAATTTTCTCTTTATGTTTTTCAGGATCACAAAGTGGAAGAATTCATCAATTCCCCCCTTTATTCAGTCCTGATCCTTAGTTATGAGATGTTTCTACGGTCTGTGGACCAAATTCAGAAGACAGAATTCAGCCTTGTCATCTGTGATGAAGGACATCGTTTGAAAAACAGTTCTATTAAAACAACTGCTGCTCTTCTCAGCCTCTCCTGTGAAAGAAGAATTATTCTTACTGGTGTGTATATCATTATTCACTCACCAAGAGCTTCTGGAGAATACAAAAAGTGCTAATTACAATGATAAATATAGGTAGAAACAAAGCAAAACATTCTCAGGATTATATCTAAAAATGGGCTGTATTCTTGGGTATACGAATACAAGGTTGAGGTGAGTATTTTGGTGAGAGTCACTGAAAATATTGTTCAACCTACAGTAAAAAAAATTAGATTTGTTGTTCCCTTACATTGGTGTATTAAAAAGTGAATAAAAATCTAATTAGGGAAGGAAGGGTATGTGTATGTGTGTGTGTGTATTTGTGCCTTCAAATCAGTCTTGACTCTTGGAGACTGTCTGGAGTAGTCCCTTTAGTTTTCTTAGTAAGAATCTCAAAATGGTTTGCTGTTGCTTGCTTCCTAGGGTTGAAAGAGTATGAATGGCCTTAGCTGGCTTTGTGCCTAAGGCTGGACTAGAACTCACAATCTCCCAGTTTCTATTCTGGTGTCTTAGCCACTACACATAATTGGCTCTCTTGTATTATTTACTAAATTCTATTTTGTCTCCCAAGGTACTCCAGTACAAAATGACCTGCAAGAGTTTTATGCTTTAATAGAATATGTAAATCCTGGAATTCTTGGTCCTTTATCAGCATACAAAAAAGTGTATGAAGAGCCAATTCTTAGATCGCGAGAACCTTCAGCAGCTGAGGTCTGTTATCACAATTGGAATTTGAGATTTTTTTTTTTACTGATTGCATAAAATTAAGAGACATGAAGTTTCTTTACTATTGGAGAAATAATTTGTTGTTATGAGAGGCAATACATATCTTATATTTACATTTCTGTACTGTATGACTACCATTACAAAGAGCAACTATTGAAGATATTCTAGAAACAGGAAGAGAAAGTCCTCTGCTAACAAACCTTATCATGTATTGAACGTTTTCATCTATGACTTCCAAGTTATGAAGTGCTCTTTCCAAGGAAAAGTGTTTAAACTTACCCTCTCAGTATTTTGGAGAGTGGAAAAAAATATTTATTTCATCAAGCTTTTAAGGTGTTAACTGGTTTTAATTATAGTAATTTTAATATATGTATAAATTTTGTTATCAAGTTTTTATTTTGTATTTAGTTTTATTGTTCTAAGGTGCTTTGATTACTTAGGACAGGGCTTTTCAACCAGTGGTACAGGTACCACCTGTGGTACATTGGCATCTGGCAGGTGGTACGCGACCATCCTAGAAAAGTGGTAGTGGGGGAGGGGAATGAGCTGAACCGGTGGTAGCACCGCACAAGCCTGAGCGAGAGATGGCTGGAGCTGCAGGGCTGTCAGGGCTCAGCGGAAGCGCCAGGATCAATGCCGCTTTCCAGCTGATCAGCGCTTCTTCGGGGCTGATCCTGGTGCTTCTGCTGAGCCCTGAAGAAGCATTGATCAGCTGGAAAGCAGCACTGATCCTGGTGCTTCTGCTGAGCCCAGAAGAAGCGCCGATCAGCTGGAATGTTGCAGCATCTCCAGGTCTTGTGATTTATATTCAGATGCTTGGCAACTGATTCATATTTATGACGGTCACAGTGTCCCAGGGTCATGTGAAGTGACCAAACCCTGCTGCAACCACCCAGTAGATGTGGGGAATAAAAACCAAACACCCCCCACCCCACCCCCACTGACAATCCTCAACAGAAATGTTCACAACAATGAAAACCTCGGACAGGAGGAAGAGCACCGCTGGGTGGGCAAGCAGGTGTCTTGCTCGGCTGTGGCTTGGGGGACACTTTTTTCAGTGCCATTGTAACTTCGAACAGTCACTAAGCGAACTGTTGTAAGTCGAGAACTACCTGTACTTTATCACTTTTTTCATTTATTTATTTTTTTGGTCATCAAGTTTTTGACAGCTTGCTAGGTGACTGGTGGTACTCGGATGTTGCCATATCCTAAAAGTGGTACAATGGGTGAAAAGGTTGAAAAGCCCTGACTTAGGAAAGCAAGGAAACATTTAAGAATAAATCAGATTAAGACATTGATGAAATGCTGAGTTTATTTCAAAATTGTTTAACGCAAATCTGAGGAGCAAGGGAAATACAAAATTTAAAGAAGAGTAAATTTAGACTGCAGTCCTATTTCAAATATTCTAGGCATAAAAACTTTATTTAACTCATTGGGATTTCTATTTAGAAGTTTATGTTCTGTCTGAACTCCAGAGGAAGGGGAAATGATACAAGAGTGTAAGGGCAGACAGAGGGAGCAGAATTCATGAACTTTGGGAAGAGGGAGGAGAGTCCCGGTCAGGGTTCCAGACTCTAAGGAAGCTTCTGTAAAGGAAGAGACTTGTTTATGGTAAGCAAGAATGAATAGAAGGCCATGGCAGGAAATTTACTCTCGTGAATTAATTTGATATTCCATTTTATTTCCTAGGAAGACATTGAACTAGGTGAGAAAAGGGCAGCAGAACTGATGCATCTAACAGGATTCTTCATTCTTAGAAGAACACAAGAGGTCATCAACAAATTCCTGCCCCCCAAAAAGGAGAGCATACTTTTCTGTCGTCCAACAATGTTGCAGCTTGCTCTTTATCATACTCTTTTGAACTCTCAGATTGTTAGATCTTGCCTACAAGGAAGTTTTGAAAATAGTGCACATTTAATATGCATCGGTGCTTTGAAAAAACTTTGTAACCATCCCTGCCTTCTCTTGAAAGCAATACAGGTGTGCATATTGAATTATGTTTAGATATGTTTCTAAATTCTTAGACTTGTTTGGTGGGCATTTAAGCCTACAATCATTACAGTTTTGGATCTGATTTAAAATATGCATTACTTTCACTAACCAGCTCTTTCCAGAAGAATTTGGGGAACATTAACAGATCCATGCAAAAAGTTCATACATGGCTTTCAATACAGTATGTCTATGGAGATTCTCAGTCATCCAGGTCATAGCAAATCCCAAAGATGCTTTTTCATGAGGCAAGTGGACTTCCTTGTTTTTCTTTGAAGACGTTTTGCTTCTCATCCAAGAAGCTTCTTCAGCTCTGACTGGACGGTGGGGAATGGAAGGATTTATACTCCTTGCAGGCAGCTAGTCATTTGCATTCTTTCGGAAAGTCATTGAGGCCACCCGGAGGTTTAGCTGTGTCGCCAGGGTCACCTGAGTAGTGAAAATGGGTGTAGTTCCAAGAAGCTCCACACCCATTTGCACTACTCAGGTGACCCTGACGACACAGATAAACCTTCAGGTGGCTTCAAACCTGAAGAACTTTCTTGGATGAAAAGTGAAACGTCTTCAAAGAAAAACAATGAAGTCCACTTGCCTTGTGAAAAAGCACCTTTGGGCTTTCAATCAATACAGAGATCAAACATTTTATTTATTAAACAAATTTATATGGCTGCCCAGCTCATACATAGTGACTCTAGGTGACTTACAACATTAAAAACCCATAATCTAAAACTGATAAAAACTGGGGATATCATTGGAATGATTGGAATGAAACGGGGTAGACTAATTGTTTGGAAGGGCTTAAGATGCATCAAAATAGAAGAGCCAACTTTTGAAGTGAAGTTTCAAAATAGTCAGGAGACACATTTGCAATAGGCTCAGTGCAGGTGGAAGACAATATGGTCCATTCTTGCATTCAGGAAATAGTGGGTGTGTTATGACAATGGGAACAAGCAGAAAGTATGGGTATGGCTTTAGTTGGAATGTCATTAAAACAGTCAACATACTTTTCCAAAATTCTCTTCTCCATAGAAGAAAGAATCTGAATCTTGTGGTAACCAAGATCAAACAAGCCTTTATGATGGTTTACATGATATTTTTTCTCAAGAAAGTGCTCAGACAAATTTATCTGACTCAGGAAAGTTGAAGGTGCTAATGCAGATGCTGGCAGCAATTCATGAACGTGGACCTTCAGAAAGGTAGGAAGGCTATTTAATTGAAAGTACAGTTTGAGTGCGGTTGAATATTATAGTTTAGTTCTTTTTCCTAAACAAAAGACATCATGGCTTATAATTTAGTTCTTAGCTATTATATTAACCACCTCTAGTGCTACGGAACTTGCTCTTACTTTCATTTAACCTGATTTCTTCAGAAGACTGAAGTAAATTCTCATACCTCTTTATAGATTTTTGTTTAGGGAACATGAATGAACTTTGTTCATCAGTTTTTAATTCTCTACATTCTTATCTGATTGTTGTTTGTTAATGGTTTATACCTTTCTTCTAATCCTATCCCAGGAGAAAATCTATCCCCTCCCGTTTTTTTTCTGAAAATCCAATATTTACTTGCTAATATTTTCCTACATTCTTGATAACATGCTGTTTTGAAAGCTGATAGGAGAGAGGCAGAGTCTAAAAAATAGTCACCAACAATTCATTAATAATCAAACATGCATAGAGATATGAAATAAAAACATATTATGTTTGTGCTTAATAATTTTAACAAACCTAGTAGGTGGAGGAGTGAGAGGTTGCTGAAAATGTCCCATTCCATATATAAATATGTTAACTTCCTTTTAATAACTATCTGTGGCATTTCCCAATAAATTATTTCTCTAAAACACAAATTTTTTTGGCCTTATCTCACGTAAGATCAAATAAAGGTTGGTTTCACATAGGCTTCCAGTGGAACAGATGTTCTTTCTTATAGAAGCAAAAGCAGATATGTCCTCTCTGCTTCATGTCTATCACAACAGAGGTGTGCTATATCTGTGCTCAGGACTCAGCCTATTTCATTGTGGTGGAACTTGACTTCTGCTGAAACGTGATTTCCCACTGACTTTCTAATACCCTTAGTCCTATCATTTCACTAAGGCACTATTGCTCTACATCCTTAATTTACTGACATCTTTTCTTCGCTTGAAATCCTTCATATGAATAAATAACAAGTACACAAAACTTACATGGTACATTTACCTCTGAGCACAATCTTTTTTGTAATAATTGACATTTACACTATAAATTTTGACTCATAATTCAGCTGGTAGTTTCTATTAGAGAACTGGACATTTTGTTTACTGTACTATAAACATAAGAGGCAAACAAAACTGGTATTGGAATAATTTTGCTCCATCAATGTAGATGGAATTTGTTAATAACCAATTTTCCATATTCCATGCTTACAGAGTTGTTGTGGTATCTAACTATACTCAGACACTAAATATATTGCAAGAAGTGTGCCAACGATGTGGATATTCCTATACTAGACTTGATGGCAGCACCCCTGTCTCCCAGAGGCAACAGATTGTTGATAGTTTCAATAGTAAATTTTGCCCAGCCTTCATCTTTCTATTAAGTTCAAAGGCTGGTGGTGTCGGTTTGAACCTTGTCGGAGCATCTCATTTAATCCTGTATGATATTGACTGGAATCCAGCGACTGATATTCAGGTTTGTTACATGCTTTCATATTGGGGCTGCAAAGCTATTAGCATCAATCAGAATTAACTGAAGTCTTTTTAATGATTTAAACCTATTTAAATAAGTGTATTTATTTATTAAAAGCCAATGTGAGTGAAATGGCAAGGGCTGATTTCTTAGAAGAAATTATATACAGGATGCTCAACATTTTATTTAGTCAGTCAAGCTTTTGTCAATGTTTTTGACACATTGTCATGGAGGACCATCTACGTCAGGGGTGTCAAACTGCCGGCCCGCGGGCCGGACGCGTCATCCGGAAGCCGCGCCCACCCCATTGCCATCAATGGCAAAACCATCCCGATAGTTTGACATGTCTGATCTACATGGTTTAACACTGACCTGATGTTACATAATTAGACAATCAGTCAAAAACTTGCAAAAATGTTTTTCATAAAGTCATTCATAGTAAAACAGGAGCTTGATTGTAGACAGATTTTTTTAGAAACAAAATAAAATAAGCAAACATAGTGAAATAACATTTGCAAGCATATTAGTTGGAAGGCCTTATCTATCATTTTTAATTGTCTCATTCTCTCTTGTAGGCAATGGCCAGAGTGTGGAGAGATGGACAGAGGCATACAGTTCATATTTATAGACTACTCACTACAGGTCTGCAATATCATAGTTGTAATGCTTTCCCCCCCCATTGCTTAGTACCAATGATTTTGACCATTCTTGAATTTATACTTGTTGCCTATTTCTGGCCATTATTTTCAGGAAGTGAATGAATGTTGCTTTCTTTAATGCAGGCACAATAGAGGAGAAAATCTATCAAAGACAAATCAGTAAGCAAGCTCTTTCTGGAGCAGTTGTAGACTTTTCCAAGGGATCTGAGCATATCCGTTTTTCTGTTGAAGAACTTAGAAACCTCTTTACATTGCATGAAGATTCCAATTGTGTGACCCATGATTTGCTGGAGTGTAACTGTATGGGAAAGAAAGATAATCAAGGTGATCTTTTCTGAGTTGCTTCTGCCTTATTTCATACACAAGATACAATTTTAGTGTTGTTGTTTTCCCTGTCCAAATTTCAAAATGGTTGCCTACTGAGAGGGTCAAAAAAGTTTGGTGATGATGGCCACAACTCTGCAGTTAAAACCGTAATGCATATAAAAAAGGGTGGAACTTTGATTGCTGCCCCCTTGCTATTTTTGATCTCCCACCCTCCTTGCAGGCACCCCTATCGCAGAAGCTGGGATTGGTGGATTTGATGAGCAATTTTATGATGTTAATATGTTGTTTCTTTATGAAGATTTGAAACCCATGTCATTCTGTGCAAATATTTAACTTAGTTTTAATAATAGGTAATAGATTCAGGACAGGCAAAAATATATATTTCTTTATACTTTACCTAGGTAAATGATGAATTTGTTGCATCAAATATGATGGCAGCCAATAGTCAAGATAAAATAAGAGTCAGTAGACATGTTACAGCCAGCAACTGCACTTTCAAAAGTTTTCAGATGCCAATGCCTATCTTACTTATTACTGTGCCCCCCAAACTTAGAAAATCTTGCCACTGTTATTCATCATGCAATCTTGAGATTTAGAGCTGCAAAACAGTGGGACCCCTCTGTGTTTGAAAGGGGGGGCTAACAGAATTGTGAAAAATAAGCTATCAGAAGTGTCTGACGTTTACTAGATACAATGCAATGGTCAGTTGATACCGCTGCAAGGAGAGAAAATGGGAGAGGATGGTTGTCTTTTGTTAACCACTCTGGGAAACAGGTTGTCAGATTAGAGAAGACTAATCCATCAAGTTTGTCTCAGACATCACTGGAACGACTTGCCTCCAGACGTTGTGGGTGCACTAACACTGGAATTTTGTAAAGAAAAGATTGGACAACCATTTGCCTGAAATAGTATAGGGTTTCTTGCCTGAGCAGGGGGTTGGACTAGAAGACTTCCAATGTCCCTTCCAACTCTGTTATGCTGTTATTCTGTCATCTAAAATACCTGAATTCAAACAAAGGCATTTTTATAGGCATAAACGTCTTTATTTCAAAATGTTCAAGTAGTGTTGAATATTTCTCATCAGCTTATGTTTTCTTCCTGTTATTTTTCTTAGGTTGTCCTGTGATCCAAGACTACCAGAGTAGCCAAAGTGATGTGAAAGTCAAAAAGTCTCTGTCTATGTCACAGTTGATGCAATGGAAACACTTTTGTGTGGATCACAAACAACTCCCTGATCCCTTCCTTGACAGGATAAAAGACAACCTTACATTTATTTTCCAAAATATAACAAGTTGAGAGCAAGTTAGCTTCTTCTTAGTCACAGTGGGCTTGTATTCATTGGGGTATTATCATTTTTAACAGCAGTAGTAGCAGCATTATTAATAATAGGATTACTGAGGATAAACAACATATATCAAGGATGACACTGTATTATTCTTTTAATCCTTAAAATAAAATGGGGGAAAATTTCTTTGCTACCACTTTTTCTTACAATGTTACATCACTCTAACAACTTCAGAATATATTATACTTCCATCTAACCCATCCAAGATGTTTTCTTCAACTAATGATAAGAACAGAGACAAGGCTTTCTTTTAATCGTGGTTATTTTTCTCCATCAATAAATAAGCTTGCATTTGTTCTCAGAATTAGTATGTCAAAGATGATATATTGCATTATATAATTATGAGATAGTTACAATTTCTAAATAGTGGGAAAGCACTATTTTCTTCCTAGGGGAAGAAACATATCTGCTCATGTCCCTCTAGCAACTCAGATTTCATCAGATATTTTTTCCTGTCACATGTGTTCCTTGAATAACTTGTTTGATGTAATATATAATTAGTGGCATGGTTTTTCTCTTTATTTATTTCTTCATTAGCAATTTTTCTCCTGTCCTGATAGAATGAATTAATAGCGTATAATGCATCATTTCCATTCATTGGTTCGATTGCTCAATTCTTAGTCATAGCCTCTAGAGCAGGGGTCTTCAATCTTGGCTTTTTTATGACTTGTGGACTTCAACTCCCAGAATTCCTCAGCCAGCATTGCTGGCTGAAGAATTCTGGGAGTTGAAGTCCATAAGTCATAAAAGGGCCAAGTTTGAAGATCCTTGCTCTAGACAGAGTTGAAGCACTGGGATTTCATCTCTCAACCTTAGCTTCTCAATTCTGCTTCTGTTAAATGCATTAGGAAGAAGGCTGTTGGCTCAGTTAAAAAAAACAGATGCTTGGCCTGCAGAAAGCTAACTTCTTTTGAAAGTGATTTACACACTCGAGCATCTCTGATCTATGGCTTTGACTGTACAATGTTACCTTTTTAAATACGGTGACTCTGTACTGTTGAAACAGTAAAAATGCGGGGGTGGGTGGCATTTATGGAAAAGGATTGTTTGAGGATTCTTAAACATCTGAACTGCTAATTCTCTCTGATTTGTGCTGTTCTGTTTTTCCATTTAATATCCTTATTTTATCCTTCGTAAAATAAATCTGTTAAAACAACTGAATTGTTTTGGCCAAGAGATTGGCAAAGTATGATTAGGTGAGGAGAAGGTTATAAATCGATTCTGAAAGGTCTGTTCCCCCCAGGCACAGGTCCACCCTTGTATTTGTTAAGAATGTGGGGATTTCCTTTTAAGTGTTTATTTCTGTCCAAAGGTTGCTGTAATGGTAGCTATCATAACAGGCTTTTTTATAGGATGCAAAACTTTCAAAATTTAAGGCGACTTACAGTACATCAGCAAGATATCCACAAATATTTTCCATCCTCAAATGTTCTCTACAGTCACTTGGGAATGTAAATCAAAAGTTGTTAAAGTCCTTATGGATATTTTCTGGGAGGAGGAATCCTCTTATTATTATCAATCCTAGCTTAGAATATTGCAGTCTATTTTCAGGCAGCCATGATCAAATGGCTATTTTTCCATGAGTAATTTCACAAAGCTGGTCAACAGTGGGCAATCATATCTATCCTAACCCAACACTTTTAACTACACATTCAAACAGTGTTTATGTTACTAATAACATTAAAAAGAACGAGTACATTTGTTGATAATAGTCTTTCAAGTGATACCTGACCAGTTCGTACAAACAGTGCCTCTCCAGTTTATCTAACCTTCTTAATTGGATTAAGTTATATAAACCAGTGGTGACTGCAAATAGACTATGTGCAATAAAATATAATAAATTATATTGTATTGTTTGGCATAATCATGCCATAAAGTACATTTGTTTCAAAGTGTTCTATTTAAAATTAAGAGATTTAATTAGTTCAAATGTATTGTTCAACTAATAAAAACTTGGATTGGAGTTCATGCAGTAAGCTAAAACAATGTGGATTGTTTGTTGAATACAACTGTTTTCTATGCTCATATATTATTTTGTTTATTTAATCAAATGTCTATAGCCACCCATCTCTTAATGTATGGGAGGCATACAATAAAAACAATCACAGTTTAACGTGTTGGGTTAATTGTCATTTATTCATTAAACCCTGGGCAAACAGGCCCTAGTTTTTGGTGTGTGAAGCAGATCAGATAGATATTTGCATCAGATCGTATTCTTGAGTTAGTTTACAATCTTTCATAGGCTTACTTGAGAATACTTCCAGCTGAAAACAAAGGCATGTGTGTGTAAATCACATTATTCCCTTACAGCATGAACAAAATTATGTAAACCATACAAGAGTAGGAAATAACAGGTAAAAATATTCACAAGATAAAAATAAATATATCTAAATCTAGTTTAGGCTAATGCCATTCATTATACTTCTTAGGTTTCAAATTGGGGCGAAGACAAAATAGTTCCAATCGAGGTTGGTTGGTTATTTATTTATTTATTATTTATTTATTCATTCGATTTCTGTAGCTACTTAATGTGTCCAACTGAAATATGAGACAGTTGACAAGCACCTCAATTAATATTGTAACAAATTAAAAATCTATTGTGTTTGTTAAAACCTGAGAATGCCCAAACCCTGTTGATGTATACGAGCTTGCGAGTTCAACAACTGCTCGCTCAAGCACTCTTTTAAAACCTCATTTTTCCAAAATATCAGTTTAGTCATTCTGATAATCTGATAAAATGATTCCTGACTTTTTGCAACTGTAGACTAACATAGCTTTTCTTCTAGAGGGACTCAGAAAAAGTAACTTTTTTCATACTTGTACATGGTTGTAATACACACGTATAAGATTTCCCTGTCAAAAAGTCTGAAAGTTTATTGTTGAGGTATATATAGAAATATTTCGTTCTGCAAAGGTGTTCATCATTGTAAAAGATCAGACTCAAGGACTGAAAAAAGTTAACCCTTTTCCCTAGAGTGACCTGAAGATGGCAGCAGCAGAGCATATACCTTATTGTACAAGTCTTTCAAGTTTTATTGGTTAAAGCCAAGTTCTAAGTGTCCCTTTATCCTCTGCTATTGTTTAAAAATTTAAACAGGTCTCTTCTTAGCTAAGAAACCGCATGCAACTTAGTCAGTTTTGTTTGAACAGAGATCACTTGAATACGTCTGAAATTTCACACCTTAACTTTTTTTGCACTCTTGCAGCAACTATTCAGAATAACCTTATACTAATCTACTTTAAGCAGGGGTTAAAGAAGATTTATAAGAGGAGAGTTTTCAAAATGAAGTTTTTTCTGCACTGAGGCAGACCTATCAAATGTTTCCAGCCTATAAAACAAGTGGAAAAATCCATAACTTACCTATAGCCTTCAGGTGCCTTTCCTGCAGTTTGGCATAAGTACTCATAACTCTGCTGTTGATTCAAAGTTATTAAATGTGGCAGCTCTTGTCATGAGAACATGGGAATTGTAATGTGGAGATAGACAATTTGTGGGTCCAGGTTTCTGTGCCCCCCTGAAATCTCTTCCCACCCTTGTTTTGCACTTCTAATGGCTGCAAATTGACAACCTGCCATTTTGAATTTAATCTTTGCCCCAATTCCATTCCTGGTTCTGAAATAATTAGGATTGCTGGTCACTTACAAAAAAATAAACCATATTAGGGAAGAGTAACCAGAGGAAAAACAAGAGAAAGCAGCATAGTAAGAAAGAAAAGCAGTGTGGTGTTGAAGAAAACAGAGGTTCAGGTTTTATTTGAGTATGGAGCTGATGCGTTAATTTGAGCCAACCATTCTCTTCCAATTCATCCTGTCTCAAAGGGCTGCCCTTTAGGAAAACAAAATAAAGGGCAAATACCATGTAGATTACAATAAACTGAGAAATATTCAGTGAGTACAGTACAAGTAGACATTGCTTACCAACCTCCACATTTAGTGAAGTTAAGACAGCACTGAAAGAGTTACTTTATAATCTGTCCTCGCATTTACACCCATCCCAGTGTCCCCAGTCATATGATCAACATTTTAGCATGTTGCAATTGGAAGTCATTCACGATCATTGCAGCATGCAGAAGTCACATGATTGTTGTTTGTGTGCTTTGCAATTGGCTTGTGGCAAGCAGAGTTAATGGAGAAGGTGGAAGTAAAATCAAAGGTCACAGTCATTTGATATCTCGCTTAACCACCATGGGTTTATTTGGGTTAGTGGTCACTAAGCCAAGACTGCCTATAAATAAATTCTATAGTGTACAGAGGGTTCCAGAAGAGAAGAGTGTGTATGTGTGTGTGTGTAACAAATAGGGAACTCACATTTTAATGTTTTATTTCCCTTAACTTGGGGACTGTATTCTGTGGAGATTCATATTTATATTTAGTTCTATACTTGAACTCACATGCCTTCCCGTATGTGTTATATAGTACAGCGGTCTGTGGTTTAAGAGTGCTGCTTGAAGTTTGAGAGTCTCTTGCATAAAGAGTAGAAATCTTGGATACTACACATTCCTTTTATTAATTTGTGCCTCTTAAATTTTCTTGAAAGAATCGATTTGTAGTGCTCACTTCTCTCCCCCCCAACTTTATAGGACTCTGTCTCACCTTCAACTTCATATTATCTGTAGAGCAGTTATCCTTCAGGCTGCCTTTTTCCTAGTGTATACATACCAACCAATGCTTAACCAATCACAAAACTGCATCTCACTTATTTTGGCCATGTCATGCAGGGGAATTCACTGGAGAAAGCAATTATGCTTGCAAGATTTAGCAGTAAAAGGAACCCAGACTGCCAAAAAACATGGTGACTGGACACCATCAAAGCTGACACTAGCCAGAACATAAAACAACTCAAAGAAGTAGTGCAAGATTGGAAGAGGTGGAGAGTCCTGTCCCATAGAATCACCAGGAGTTGGACATGACTGAATGGATAACATCATCATCGCTTAGCAATAATGGATATGATTTCTTTTAACAGTTTCTATGCAGGACAAGAAAATGAAACTTTTGAACATTTAAGAGTTAACATTTAAAAAGTCTTTGCTTGTTGATCAATAGAAGGAAGACTGTGCATACTTAAATCTACATTGTGCATATCTCCTGTTCCATTCATTTGCTACTTGTTAT